ACATCAGGCATTCTACAGTTCCTGGGGCACGCCACCCATATGTCAGTGAGAAAGAAAATAAAAAACCTTTTACTAAAACGGACTTGAATTTGGACTTGAATTTGTTACTTTTAACCTGCGTGGACAGAAACACACATGTCAATAACTCCACTCGACATAAATGAACGTCATGCAACTTTTTTATACCAGTTGTGGATGCAAATAGGTGTGACACACTGAAAACTGGAGGCATAAAATTAAAAGCGTGAAGCTGTAAAAAATCTTGAAATATGCTGTTTCCGCCATATTTGGCGATTTGACACCCCCCCGGAAATTACATTTTTTGGGACAAGTTTTGCTAATCTAACTAGAAAGTAGTCAGGTAGTATAATGATGCATTTACATTTCGCTTAAAAGTAAAACTGAATTTTTTCTCGATTTTCGAAAATGAAAAAATGTTCATTTTGCAATTTGGACCGATATTCGGCCAGCGGTATCTTCCGTAATAATTTAGCCACATGTGAAATGTTCACGTCAGGCATTGTACAGTTCCCGATGCACGCCAAACATTTGTCAGCGTGAATCTAAAATAAAACACGTTTTACTAATACGCACTTGAATTTGGACTCGAATTTGTTAAATTTAACCTGCAGGGACAGAAATACACATGTCAGTAACTCCGCCCTAATTCAACAAACGTCATCCAAATTTTTTATACCACTTCTCGATGCAAGTTTGTGTAACTGACTGAAAAATGGAGACATAAACTTAAAAGCGTGAAGCCGTAAAAAATCTTGAAATATCCTGTTTCCGCCATATTTGGCGATTTGTCACCCCCCGGAAATTACATTTTGTGGCACAAGTTTTACTAATCGAACTAGAAAGTAGTCAGATAGTATAATGATGCATTTACATTTCGCCTGAAAATAAAACTGAATTTTTTCTCGATTTTCTCAAATGAAAAAATGTTCATTGGACTTTCATTTTGCAATTTGGAACGACATTCGGCCAGCGGTATCTTCCGTAAATTTCAAGCCACATGTCCAATATTCACATCAGACATTGTAAAGTTTCCGGTCAACAAAGCGCATCTGTCAGCGTGACTAATAAAGGAAACATGTTTTACTAAGACGCACTTGAATTTGGACTCGAATTTGTCAATTTTAACCTGCGGGGACAGAAATACACATGTAAGTAACTCCGCAATAATTCAACAAACGTCATCCAAATTTTTTATACCACTTCTGGATGCAAAGTTGTGTAACTGATTGAAAAATGGAGACATAAAATTAAAGCGTGAAGCCGTAAAAAATCTTGAAATATCCTGTTTCCGCCATATTTGGCGATTTGTCACCCCCCGGAAATTACATTTTGTGGGACAAGTTTTACTAATCGAACTAGAAAGTATTCATATAGTATAATGATGCATTTACATTTCACCTGAAAGTAAAACTGAATTTTTTCTCGATTTTCTAAAATGAAAAAATGTTCATTGGACTTTCATTTTGCAATTTCGAACGACATTCGGCCAGCGGTATCTTCCGTAAATTTGAAGCCACATGTCCAATATTCACATCAGACATTGTAAAGTTTCCGGTCAACGAAGCGCACCTGTCAGCGTGACTAATCAAGGAAACACGTTTTACTAATACGCACTTGAATTTGGACTCGAATTTGTCAATTTTAACCTGCGGGGACAGAAATACACATGTAAGTAACTCCGCAATAATTCAACAAACGTCATCCAAATTTTTTATACCACTTCTGGATGCAAAGTTGTGTAACTGACTGAAAAATGGAGACATAAAATTAAAAGCGTGAAGCCGTAAAAAATCTTGAAATATATTGTTCCCGCCATATTTGGCGATTTGTCACCCCCCGGAAATTACATTTTGTGGGACAAGTTTTACTAATCGAACTAGAAAGTATTCATATAGTATAATGATGCATTTACATTTCGCCTGAAAGTAAAACTGAATTTTTTCTCGATTTTCTAACATGAAAAAATGTTCATTGGACTTTCATTTTGCAATTTCGAACGACATTCGGCCAGCGGTATCTTCCGTAAATTTGAAGCCACATGTCCAATATTCACATCAGACATTGTAAAGTTTCCGGTCAACGAAGCGCATCTGTCAACGTGACTAATAAAGGAAACACGTTTTACTAAGACGCACTTGAATTTGGACTCGAATTTGTCAATTTTAACCTGCGGTTACAGAAATACACATGTAAGTAACTCCGCAATAATTCAACAAACGTCACCCAAATTTTTTATACCACTTCTGGATGCAAAGTTGTGTAACTGACTGAAAAATGGAGACATAAAATTAAAAGCGTGAAGCCGTAAAAAATCTTGAAATATCCTGTTTCCGCCATATTTGGCGATTTGTCACCCCCCCGGAAATTACATTTTTGGGACAAGTTTTACCAATCGAACTAGAAAGTAGTCAGATAGTATAATGATGCATTTACATTGGGCCTGAAACTAAAACTGAATTTTTTCTCGATTTTCTAAAATGAAAAAATGTTCATTGGACTTTCATTTTGCAATTTGGAACGACATTCGGCCAGCGGTATCTTCCGTAAATTTCAAGCCACATGTCCAATATTCACATCAGACTTTGTAAAGTTTCCGGTCAACAAAGCGCATCTGTCAGCGTGACTAATAAAGGAAACACGTTTTACTAAGACGCACTTGAATTTGGACTCGAATTTGTCAATTTTAACCTGCGGGGACAGAAATACACATGTAAGTAACTCCGCAATAATTCAACAAACGTCATCCAAATTTTTTATACCACTTCTGGATGCAAAGTTGTGTAACTGACTGAAAAATGGAGATATAAAATTAAAAGCGTGAAGCCGTAAAATTTTTTGAAATATCCTGTTTCCGCCATATTTGGCGATTTGTCACCCCCCCGGAAATTACATTTTTGGGACAAGTTTTACTAATCGAACTAGAAAGTAGTCAGATAGTATAATGATGCATTTACATTTGGCCTGAAAGTAAAACTGAATTTTTTCTCGATTTTCTAAAATGAAAAAATGTTCATTGGACTTTCATTTTGCAATTTGGAACGACATTCGGCCAGCGGTATCTTCCGTAAATTTCAAGCCACATGTCCAATATTCACATCAGACTTTGTAAAGTTTCCGGTCAACAAAGCGCATCTGTCAGCGTGACTAATAAAGGAAACACGTTTTACTAAGACGCACTTGAATTTGGACTCGAATTTGTCAATTTTAACCTGCGGGGACAGAAATACACATGTAAGTAACTCCGCAATAATTCAACAAACGTCATCCAAATTTTTTATACCACTTCTGGATGCAAAGTTGTGTAACTGACTGAAAAATGGAGATATAAAATTAAAAGCGTGAAGCCGTAAAATTTTTTGAAATATCCTGTTTCCGCCATATTTGGCGATTTGTCACCCCCCCGGAAATTACATTTTTGGGACAAGTTTTACTAATCGAACTAGAAAGTAGTCAGATAGTATAATGATGCATTTACATTTGGCCTGAAAGTAAAACTGAATTTTTTCTCGATTTTCTAAAATGAAAAAATGTTCATTGGACTTTCATTTTGCAATTTGGAACGACATTCGGCCAGCGGTATCTTCCGTAAATTTCAAGCCACATGTCCAATATTCACATCAGACTTTGTAAAGTTTCCGGTCAACAAAGCGCATCTGTCAGCGTGACTAATAAAGGAAACACGTTTTACTAAGACGCACTTGAATTTGGACTCGAATTTGTCAATTTTAACCTGCGGGGACAGAAATACACATGTAAGTAACTCCGCAATAATTCAACAAACGTCATCCAAATTTTTTATACCACTTCTGGATGCAAAGTTGTGTAACTGACTGAAAAATGGAGATATAAAATTAAAAGCGTGAAGCCGTAAAATTTTTTGAAATATCCTGTTTCCGCCATATTTGGCGATTTGTCACCCCCCCGGAAATTACATTTTTGGGACAAGTTTTACTAATCGAACTAGAAAGTAGTCAGATAGTATAATGATGCATTTACATTTGGCCTGAAGGTAAAACTGAATTTTTTCTCGATTTTCTAAAATGAAAAAATGTTCATTGGACTTTCATTTTGCAATTTGGAACGACATTCGGCCAGCGGTATCTTCCGTAAATTTCAAGCCACATGTCCAATATTCACATCAGACTTTGTAAAGTTTCCGGTTAACAAAGCGCATCTGTCAGCGTGACTAATAAAGGAAACATGTTTTACTAAGACGCACTTGAATTTGGACTCGAATTTGTCAATTTTAACCTGCGGGGACAGAAATACACATTTCAGTAACTCCGCAATAATTCAACAAACGTCATCCAAATTTTTTATACCACTTCTGGATGCAAAGTTGTCTAACTGACTGAAAAATGGAGACATAAAATTAAAAGTGTGAAGCCGTAAAAATTTTTGAAATATCCTGTTTCCGCCATATTTGGCGATTTGTCACCCCCCCGGAAATTACATTTTTTGGGACAAGTTTTACTAATCGAACTAGAAAGTAGTCAGATAGTATAATGATGCATTTACATTTCGCCTAAAAATAAAACTGAATTTTTTCTCGATTTTCTAAAATGAAAAAATGTTTATTGGACTTTCATTTTGCAATTTGGAACGACATTCGGCCAGCGGTATCTTCCGTAAATATCAAGCCACATGTCCAATATTCACATCAGACATTGTAAAGTTTCCGGTCAACGAAGGGCATACGTCAGCGTGACTAATAAATGAAACTCCTTTTACTACCGGCCACTTAAACTTCAACTTTTTGAGACAGGTCCCGCAACGATTTTCAAAAGTCCGTAACTCCCCCGGAAGTAGACCGAACGAAGACAAACTTTTTTCCCCAGCTATGCCTCTGGTACTCTATCCAAATATGCAAAAAGGGGCTGATTCTAAAAATTTCAGAAAAGTTATTATATCTATATAGTAACATAAGTTAAGTCATGACATAGTATCTAGTTACATATGGCCATACTTTAACCTTTAGTAAAGGGTAGCCTAGGTAACCACTTTACTATAGGTCACACCGTGACTCTAAATA